GACAAAGGTGTACGCTACAGAAACCAGTGCGACTTAAGTCGCAGTCTGGGCATACACCTTTGTCGCACTGCCACCATACACCTTTGTATGCATAATATGCCGGACAGGGCCTAAGGTCCTTCCAAGCCCCCTGGGCAGGTGTTTGGCCTCCATACACCTTGTGCTGGGTAAAATAGTACAAGGTTTGAGGGAGCTGTGAGCCGTGGGCTCCAGGCCCATGAAGTGCACTCCCAAGGTGTATGCAGGCCAAGCACCCGCTCAGGGGGCTTAGGGGCTGTCCGGCATTTTATGCATACAAAGGTGTATGGTGGCAGTGCGACAAAGGTGTATGCCCAGACTGCGACTTAAGTCGCACTGGTTTCTGTGGCGTACACCTTTGTCGCACTCTGACGGGACGCCTTTGAAATTACAGTGTACTCCTGCTGCCGCTGCCGCTGTACTGCTCTTGATGTCCCGCGGGGCAACTTGTCAAATCATAATCATTTGTCGGCGCTCCGCTGCGCTCGGGTGGCGGGAGACGCCCGCGAGGACACCGACCACGACAACGGCGAGGTTCTTGAGGGCAGGCTCTCCTCACCAGGGATGGTCTGGCCACAGTCACCACCAGGGAGAGAGAAAGATAAAAAAAAACAAAACAAGCAGGCAAGTACAACAAGTAACAACAACTCGTGTAAAAATTTTATGAGGGACAGCAGAGAGACAGAGCACTGCAACCCGCCATGTCGGCGTCTGGATGTCACCTGCATCGCCATGTTCAGCGAGTGCCCTGTCCGCGGCTCTGACCCACCCTTGTTCCATTTGAATTTCGTCGATCCCTCTCTCTCTCACACACACATGTTTCTCATTTCGGGATTTAGTTGGGGTAAGAGGGGAAAGGGGGTGGTGTAGGGCCGAGGGTAGGGCATACCCAGAAAACGGTTCCGTTGATTTTATCTCTGATGTTATGCTAGAATTTTTCTCTTGATTCATGTGATTTGCATATGCTTTAAAGGAAAAATGGCCATAGGGTGAAGAATCATCTTTTAAAACAAAGAAAGCTCCTTCAAATAAGAAAAATTCTAGCATATCTATATGAATGGAAATTTCCGTTGGAATAAGGGGATACCGTTAGTTTAATGGAACAATTTTCTCTGTGGCAGATATAAGCCATAAACTAGAGTTTTAGTAGAAGACGAGGTGCAATCTCGCACCACATTAAATGAAACGATTTTTCAACTCGAAAACCAATTGACTCTAAGCTGAGCGAGTGGGAAATTTACAATTTTCAGAACAGGGCGGAAGAGGGGGAAAGTATTCCACAACGCTAGTTGAGATTGGGAATATCGCGGGTGCGTTGCAAATAATGTGACGACCCTTATCCGAAAATCCACCGATATCTGAACAAAGTCGACAGGGAAGACATGTTGAAGGTCTTGCGTTTCGTCGCTTTGTACTGTATAGCAACCGTCATAGAACAGCGAACGGGCCAGGCGCGGACGGGCGGCTGGGATGGGATTTATTGTAATGTTTGAGCGCGGCGCGCACCGCGTTCCAGTAACGCTCTAATGAGCGCGGCAGGACAAAAGCGACGCGTTCTTGGAGAAGACGGGGAAATTAAGAGAACGCCGTGCGTCCTGCGGCGACTGCCGTCCTCGCTATCCCGACAAAAGCGACGCGACTGCGACGCAGCGAAAGAGATCAACTAAATAAAGTGATCAGTCGTTGGGCTGCCACCGCCATGGCGTGGGAACCAAGCGTCACACTCGCTTCCTCTGCAAGGACCGCAAGTCGCTAAAACTGGTCGGCGTCTTTTAGCGCCAAAATATTGGCGTCCTTCTCATGAACGCCAAATGTTGGCGTTTCAAGACGCCACATGCGTCTTGTAGAGGACGCCAATAATTTGGCGTTAGAAACCAGTTGTCAGGGGTGCAACTGGAAAGTGTGCTCGCCATTCTACCGAGTCTGATCTAGAGCAGACACAGTATGGGCGCACTGTAGGATCAGGGACTTTACAAATCGACTGCGAAAGCGCCATGGCACTCGAAGCTTGGACATATAACGATGTCGCTGACAAGATGACGCCAGCTGCGGCTGCGGTCCCGAAGAAGCAGGCGCATAGTCTCCCTCCTCCTCATGTCTTAATTACGAGTAACTGCCGTAGACCACCAATAAACCACCTGCAGGCCTCGTGGCGCTGCAGTGAACCTCTGCGGCTGGCCGGGCCCGCCGGCCCCTGATGGCAAGTAATGGCAGCGAAAGGTGGCGCATTTATCATCTCATCAAACGAGCTCCGCTGTATTCTGCCTTTGTTGGCGCCCAAAACGATACGCCCACTGTAAAACAAGGGAGACGTAGAACACAAAATTAATTTTGTATTAGTGAATAAACTCGTTCTTTAATTAAAATTATCGCCCTACTTGTGGCACGAACACCCGAACATTGCGTCCATCAGCTGCCGTTAAGAAATTGCCAAGTTCAGCCCAAGCAAGGTCTCATAGCGCCCAGTAGCTAGGCAACATCTTGCCTTCAATGCATGCGTGTACTGCGGGGTGGCCTACCCTGAGTCTCGCAGGCGCCGAGCTGTAACTTGCCGAGTAATCGAAAGTGAATCTGAGAATCGGGTGTTCCCTGCAGGCGGCCCCGAAGAAGGACAAATACTGTTCTCTCAGCAGTGTTAAACTCCTTTTGGTGTCAGCGTCGCCGAACACCCGTACGAAAAATATTAGTCCGGCATCAGTCCGTTTTCGGTCCGGAAATAGTCCGCACCCCTGTGGACCAGTCCGCGTTCGATCCGTCGTGCACCGGACTAGTCCGCCTTTAGTACCCCCGGGCGTGCGGACTAGTCCGCTTTGAGGTCGCACCGGCCAAGTGCGATGCCGGACCAGTACGCAGACCGCAGACAGTCCGTCCTCAGGGGACCAGTCCGCGGACAGTCCGCCCTCACCGGACTAGGTCGCTTTCAGTCCGCCCCATGACGGACTAGGTCGCTATCAGTCCTCCAATGGCGGACTACTGGCGGACCAGTTAACAGCGTACCGCCGTACTCAGACTCTATCCTCAGACCCTTACCCCAACTGGGTATGACACAGTCCGTCCTGAGTACCTACCGCAGCGGACCAGGTCGTTTCCGGTCCGCCCGGGAGCAGAGCACAGCACTGTTAAAAAGAAAGAATTGTCCGGAGCGAATCCTGATACAAGTTTACCATGCTGTAACTTTGGAAGTTATAGGAATTTTGAACTCAAATTTTATTTGGGCCATCTACACTCTATTTTAGTAGGGCCATTTTAATTTTATTGAAATCGAAGCAAATTTTTCTGGTAACTCGTAAACGGCTTGAGCTAGGTCAAAATAGACAGCGGATTTGGCTTCGCCTCGTTCCTTACACTCTGAGATCAGTTTTCGATTTACACTGTCCTGATATTTCACTTTATTTAGCGATAATAAACATTAAACTTTGCACTTTTCCCAATCAATTTTGGCACGGTAAAGGTCAGCTGTGCTACAGGTAGTCCGCTTTCAGTCTGCTCTGCGTGCGGACCAGTCCGCGATCAGTC